TACCTGTGTTCCAAATATTTCAAACACTTATTTCTTGAATCCTATACCTTCACTTAGTCTTCACAGCATCCCTGAAGTAGATTTTTTCCTACTTATCTTCATCATCCTCATAATTATTATTATTACTACTTACATTTTACTCTTCTTAGTACTTAGATACATTTTCCCATCAGATCCTCTAAGTCTAAATTTCTTTAGTGTTCATAGAATCCTAGTTAAGTATCCATCATTGTTGTATTTGTACTATTATTACTATTGGTATTGTTATTATTGATTTGTTCTCTATTAATGCTGACATCAACTCTCAGTACATTGTGCTCCTTGAACTCTGCCCACCTGAAATTACTCAGTCTTCACATCATATTATATCACTGTTGTTTTCAATTATTACTATTAGCAAGCACTTCAATAAACCAAACCTCCATTTTTAGTACATTATATACATTTACTCTTTGAATCCTAAATACTTTGATATTTAGTCTTCACAGAGTCCCTTTAACTAGATTTTGTGGTTATTTATTATCATGATTAATATTTGTAATTATTATCAATTACTTATTTACCAACGTTATCTTTTATTGTAAGAACCTTGTATATTTATTCCTTGAACCTCACATATGTTTATCTATTTAGTCTCATAATATTCCAGTGAGGTGGTTTTATTGTTGTAATATCATTATCATTGTTACCATCTTTATCATTATTGCTATTAATAGCACTTTAATAATGTAAACCTCTGAGTAAATTAAATAATCATTAAATCTGTATGCATCATAGTTTCTTCAGTCTTCACACCATCTCAATGAAGTAGAACAGGTTTTTTTTGTTTGTTTTTCTCTTTATTTTTTAAATTATTTTAACTATTTCTTCACCAGTGCCTACATCTGTTCTAAATACCTTAAATACAACAAATCCTTGAATTCTTATACACCTTTAAGTAATTTTGTCCTCTCTGCCTCCTACTGAGGTAGGTTGTCACTGTTATTTGTTATTATTTTAATTAGTTGCTGCTGCTGCTAAGTTGCTTCAGTCGTGTCGGACTCTGTGCGACCCCAGAGATGGCAGCCCACCAAGCTCTACCATCCCTGGGATTCTCCAGGCAAGAACACTGGAGTAGGTTGACATTTCCTTCTCCAACGCACGAAAGTGAAAAGTGAAAGTGAAATCGTTCAGTCATGTCTGACTCTTCCCCACCCTATAGACTGCAGCTTACCAGGCTCCTCCATCCATGGGATTTTCCAGGCAAGAGTACTGGAATGGGTTTCCATTGCTTTCTCTGTCAATTAGTTGTGTCAACTACTAATTTTCACCTATCAAGAGCTTTGCCAACAACTGAACAACAAAGGTGCTTCCCATCTGCCTCTGTAGAGATTGAACTTCATGCTGCTATAGCTGTTGACCTTCGATAACCCTGAGGGAGTTCAGGGTGAGGCATTCTGTGCCCCAGAGAAGCTAGTGGGACAGGTCTTTAGATAGTTGGATGTTTTTGGAACACATTTTATGATCTCATTCCTTGCATCTCCTCATATATAGAGTAAGCACTAAATCCCCTCATGGTGACATCAGATTCTCATGACTAACAAAAAACATTTTGTAAAATAAGCACTTCATGGTATTGAACTCCTCCTTCAACAAAGCCTTATATATTGACTTTCCCCCACTGCCACTTTGGAGTAGTCCCTCAGAGCTATCTGAGATACTGCCTCCTGGGCTGCAGCCCTCATTTTGCCCCGAGTAAAACTTAATTCACAACTCTCAAGTTGTACATCATTTTTTTTAGTCAATGGTTGTTAGTTACCAGTGCTTATCTCTGTTCCAAGTATTATGTGTACTTTCACTTCCAGAATATGTACCTTCATTTATTTATTTCACAGTATCCTAGCAGGTAGCATTTGTCATTGTTATTTTGTTCTTGTTATCATCCATACTAGTTAGCGTATTTCTTACTAAAGCTGACTTTTATTTTTAATGCTTTATATATTTTTACTCATTGATTCATTATACACCTTAATTTACATAGTCTTCGCAGCATGCCAATGAGGATTTATTTTTTTGCTTTGTGGTTTTTTTTAATTATTATTATTTTAATTTATTATTACTGCTGATTAAAGGTAAACATATTGAGGGCCAAAGCAAATCCATCAATGTAAGCCCTGACAAATGGCAGAAAAAGTGTTCCTGGAAACAAACTCACTCAGAAGAACAACGCAGATAGTGGAGTGCAGTTTATCACACCAGTGGACCCAAGGTAGAGTCTCCTCTTAGCCAAGGATTCTGACCAGCATTTGTGAAAATCTTTTATACCTCATGTGTATGTGTCTGAACTCACCACCCAAAATTCCTTGAGACTTACATAAACAAAGAGTAAATACAATCACAATAACCCAATCATTTATGTGTCATGTGTCCAAACAGTTAATAATCAACAAGCCTGTGGTTACATTCTGAAAGATACAAAAAAAAAAAAAATGACCTGTCTGGAGGCAGGGGTGATTAGAGTATATTTTCCCTTAGGCAATGAGTAAGCTGGATATGATTTTCAAGATCCCCCTGTCTAGAGGGGGTCTTATCCTTCTGTTGTAGTTTCCATAGACACTAAGTCTATTGGAGAGCTGGCCAAGCATAATCAGCATGAACAGGCCTAAGATAGTGTCCAGGCCCTATGAATTCCTTCTTCAACAGGAGTCATATCCAATTACATCTGGAATTCATGCTATTAGTTCATACCAGTAAATTTTTTTTTTAATTTGCACATTTTAAAATGTGGCTAATATCCATCAGAAAATACAAAAATATTCATCAAAGCTTGCAAAAAAAAAAAAACTTGCTAAAATTATACAAAACCATTCATTTCTTCCCTAGACATATATTCAGGAGAAATGTATGTAAATGTACCTACCACAGACAGGTATACATATGTTCAAAGGATATCACTACTCATCATACTTAAAACGAGAAAATGTCCAATTGTTGCTGAGTTCACTCTGGTCACCTCACGACAGGCCAATGAATCCAAGAGACAAGTTGTTGATACAAAAGACTTTAATCACCCAGCTGGCAGACTGAGAAGAGGCTTGTACCTCAAAATAATTTTCTTACTGGGGTCTGGGTGCCAAGTTCTTTTTAGATCAGAGAGAAGGAAACACGAGAAACTCAAGTCAAAAGCCAGAATAGAGAGAGAGGCAGGGGGGAAATAAAGTAAAGGGTCTTCACTCTTGTTAAACCTCTTCAAGGTAATGCCCAGGCTTCAGAAGGGGTGTGTTAATCTCTTCTATTCACAGGTGAACAGAGACAAACTATCTCTCTTTGAGCAGAACAAAGGAACTTTAGTTTACAGTCAAGCGAAGGGGCAGGGTCCTCCAGGCAAGCAATTGAGAATGATTATAATAATAAAAGCAAAGCAAAGAAACAGTTTCCAACCTGGAGTCAGAATGGACTGCAACACAGTCACACATCTATAATATATACGATGAAGTGTGCATAGTAATTTCCAAAACAAACTCAATGTCACTGATTTTATTTGAAGCAAAAGAAACTAAACATAGTATTTTATGTTTTCCTTTATTTGAAGTTCAAGAAAGGGAAACATACCTATTTTGACAAAAGTTAGAGTACAGTTTATTTGTGAACATGTGAAAAGAAAGATTTTAAATAATAAACACCAATACATATAAATGAAAAAATATACAATACTTTGAAATACAATTTTAGGTAGCTGTTTAAAAGGCTATTGTAGCACATAATTACCATTTTGAGTGCATGAATCTCTGATTAAACAATATTGTTCCTGGAATAAATCAGTCTGTGATGTTGTCTCCTTTTTATCCCTGAAGTATCTTTCATAAACTTCACATTTCACTATACATTGTTTCGGGGTTTTGAGTTTTATTATTTGAGGTACTGATTTTATAAGAGTTTGGAATGTAAGTATTGGAAAGTTAACTTTGATATATGACTCATATCATATCATATCATACTGTTTGACCATGCACTGATTGTCATTTCAAAAAAGTGATGCTTTCTTTGCAAGCTGCCTGTTTTTCTACTTTAGTCTGTTTGCAATTTTTTAAACACCTTTGATTTACATTTTCACGGACACCTCATCAGATTAATAAGACAGGATCTTGCTCATCCCATCCCCCATGCCACATAATCTGAAAAGTTTATATTCTTGACATGATATCACTTAATTTTGTTATTCCAAGAATGCAAAAATTAAGTGAAAAATGGAAGCAAATGTATTGCCAGTGTTTAAAAGAAAATTTTCAGAAAAGAGATGAAAACTTAGGTCTCACAGGAGCTAATTAAATACTGGATAGATGTTATAATCCCCTCAAAACAGGTCAAAGCTTACAATTTTGTATGACTGAAGAAACTGACTTGCAAATGACAGCAAAACTGGCTTTTTCACAGTGGGAAGGAAAGGCTATAAACTGTGAAAGAAGATAGAATATGCATATATACACACTAATTACCTGCAGTTTACAAAGAGGAGGAAAGTAGCTAGAAAGGCCGAAGAACAGACCTTGTACCAGAAAGTGCTTTAGAAGGTAGGGAGCTTTCCATCCAAGTAGGATGTCTTTCCATTGTACCATGAATTGTGAGTGTTTCTGAAAGCACTATAGTTTGGAGTTACAGTATTTAAAATAAAAAGTAAAAGTTATATTGTCTATAGTGACTATTTCCAGATTATTAATATATACTACCATCTAACTAATGGCCAATCTCTGGAACAATTAAAATTAGAAATATATAAATTGTGCCATTACTAGGAAAAACAGATGACCTTCAAACTCAAGCAGTGTTGGTGCTGTTAAGATAATTTCTTACAAAAAAGAACTCTTACAGAAAGAATTGATAAACAGAGGACTAGTTATATTGGAAAGTTCTAATTATTTACACGTTAAATGTACTTATTTGGCTTCTTTTAAAATTAAGTAACAGATGAAATTGTAGTAAAATTGAGATAAACAGCACCTTTGTTAGCGAAAGTAAGGAGGTCAGTATTGAAAATAAGCGCAAGAAAGTCCAGGCTGTAAACTTTGATAAAAGGGAAAGTCCGAGGAAATCTGTGTAGCCAATGTTACCCTATTGTGGCCCAGGTTTGTCCAGCTGCTGTGATGCTCCTTTTGGAGGAATGAATTGGTTATGGTCACAGACTGTGAGAGGCTTAACTGGCTTTCCATTCGTGAGCATGTGGTCTTGGCACAACCGTCCCTGTATGTGAAGGGCTGCAATGTCTCTACATGCATCTGTTTGCGTAGTATTGAAGAGTCTGCAGGAAGCAATTTCTGTTGCCTCTTCGTTTTCCGACGAGGTCGATATTTATAGCCCGGGTATTTGTCTCTGTGTATGGCTAGTAGTCTCTGTGCCTCCTCAAAGAATGGGCGCTTTTCAGCATCTGTAAGCCTTTTCCACTCATACCCCAGCTGCTTGCTGATCTCTGAGTTTTGCATTTTGGGATTCTCTAGAGCCACCTTTCGTCTTCGTTCACGAGACCACACAATGAACGCGTTCATGGGTCGCTTGACGTGGTCCTGGCCGCTGTCCCTAACATTTTCTCCCGTTTCACACTGATCATTTGCGCTGCGATGGTCTATGAACAAGGAAGAGGCTTTCCCAAAGGCGAGAGGATTTTGTTGTTGTATCTCGGCTGTACTGTAAACATCGTCGTTCAATACTCTGAACATAGTAATGCAGACGATTGCACCGTTTGAAAAGGGGAGGAAGTAATAAGCGATATAAGCGTTCTAAAAATTATCTTGCTGTTAAATAAGTTGTCCTTACCAGAGACTGACAGTGCAATGTTTGCAGTGAAATATTTATTTCTCCGCCCACAATACCTCCCCTCAGTACCTCCTGGCAGTCAGCCCAAACCCACCAACCTACTCTCTCAAGAAACGCTACGTAACAGGATATTAACTCTCTGTTTTCTTCTTTGTTTATATCTAATCAGAATTTGTGAAGGCGCTAACACCTGCTTAAAAATACAAACGGTGTCATTATGAAGTTATTTTCCTATACCTTTACTTCAAAGGATGAAGGTGCAGCAGACATATTAACAAATTGTTTATGGTTATGAATTTAAGAGAATGTTACCTTAAACAAAAAGATGAAAAACAGCCAGATCCTGTAAATATACGTATATATTTAAATATACATACCAAATCCATGTTAATCACTATCCTGGCTTTTTCACTTCGGCTTCAAGTACAGCTGAAAAATCTACATAAGTATTCCAGTAGCTAATAACTGTGTGTGTGTGACTTTCAGAATGCTAACATATACTAACCCATATTTAATAGGCAATCTCAGAAGCAACTAAAATTAGATATAAAAACTGTCCCATTAAAAAAAAACAAACAAACAGATAACTTTAGCACCCAATCAGTTTCCTGGTGTTAATGTAACACTTCAAAGAGACTGGGTTTTGTCTTTTTGTTCTGAGGATTGGGGAGTAGGGAAAGTGGGAGGCTGGGGGTTTGTGATGTCTTAGGTGGGTAGGCAGTGCAGATGTAATATCCATCACTCTCGACTGCACTTTTAAATAACAGATGATCAAAACTAAACAAAACTAAAAGAACAAAGCTTTATACATCCAAATTTCTAAATTGTTGCCATAAGTTGTTTTATATTCTAGTTCATACTCTGGGGAAAATTGAAAAGTAAGGGTTTACAAAATGAAATAAGTGAAGCCCTCTTCCAAATAAATCCATAAGGCAAACTTGGAAGCTTTCATAGAGTATTTTGATGTAATAAAATATGAGGAGACTTCCCCTATACAAGTTTTAAAACCATATCTGAAAAATAGGAGTAACAATTGTATATTGGACTGGACATAACATATGAAAAATAAGCCTCACCAAGATTTCATAAAAGTGATGCCAAAATTCCTAAGAAAATATAATTTAAATAATGCTTGTGCTTCATAAAAATGATCTGCATTTAAAAAATGTGATTTAATGTCTAATGATGCAATGATAGTAGAAACTTCAAAAGTTAACTTTATTAAGTCAAATGTGTCAATCTTGTAAGCTGCATCCTAGTTGTTAAGTATTAAAGATCCAAATAAAATGTGAAAATATTATTACAATTTAAAACATGCATCTTTCTGTGGAAGTAAATGTTTAAATGGCAGTCATACACAAAAGCAGATTTAATAAACCTAGAAATTATTTAATATATGAGAAAAAATATATATCTTTTCAAGGTTGAAATTAAAAGACAAAAAGTAATACATTCAGCAATGTGGAGGAACCTTGAAGACATCACCCTGTGTTAAAAAAACATACACAAGAGGCAACGTACTAGAAGATTACATTCACATGGAGTCCCCAGAAGGGGCAAATGCAGAGACAAGAACCAAGTTAGTGATGATTGTGCAGGAAAGAATAAGAGGGAGGGAGCATGGGAAGTAAATGCTAAGCTGTTCAGGTTTTCCTTCTAGGTCAGTGAAATATTCTGGAGCTAGATACAACTGCTGATTGCACAACATTTGAATGTACTTAAGCTACTCAACTGTATCCTTAAAATGATTTAAATGAATGGTATGTATATTCAGTCACTTCAAAGCAGAAAAAAGAAAAAGAGGACTTCACAGATATTAATGTAATTATATGAAGGGACTGGGAGGACAAGAGCCTTTAAATTAAAAAGAAGGATTTCACTGCTTTTAAATTTCCAGCTCCAAGAATATAGCCTGGCATATATATTAATTCCTTGAAATATCTCTACAGTATACTTCAATCAACAAGCAGAGTCAAAAATGGTCCCAAGCTTATAGAAGGAAAACTTGTATTCCATTTACAAAAAGCCAAAAACTTCCATGATTCTCTAAAGATTTTTCATGCAAGGATAAAAAGGATGGAGAAAGGGAGGTACAGTCCATCTCAATAATATGATCAGTAGGTTACATGATATTTCTTTGAGTGCATTTTTAACATTATGTCAGCTTATGTCAATCTCAGAGGCCTGGTTTATACTCAGTCACTATTCTCACATACAATATTTAGCCATCCTTATAATATTGTACCTTCAAACCAGAGACATAATGTATGCTACCCTGAACTTTTGGGTCACTAGGATGCCACACCCATTCCCCACATTCATTCTCAGCTCTGTTGGGTTAAATGACTATCACATTTCTTATTCATGGTTGAATATGTCATAACTTTTTCTCAATCATCCCCACAAGCAAAGTGGTGGGAAGTGATACAGTTCTAAAAAAGTTAAACCCAAAGAGGATTCACTGACAAAAAAGTTTGCCAAACTATCAAACTTGTTTTCTGTTTTGGTGGGATTAACATTCTAGAATAGGAAAGTGCACCAGAGATATCAGATTCAAATACTTTTTCATATTATAGATTCTTATTTATTCTTAAAGCAAAAATGAATAAGAACTGAATGCTATTAGATTATAACAATGGAATCAACTGCATGTAAGGTATCAGTTCAGTTTAGTCACTCAGTCCTGTCTGACTTTTTGTGACCCCATGGACTGCAGCACTCCAGGCTTGCCTGTCCATCACCAACTCCTGGAGCTTACTCAAACTCATGTGCACCAAGTCAGTCATGCCATCCAGCCATTCATCCTCTGTTGTGTCCATCTCCTCCTGCCTTCAATCTTTTCCAGGATCAGGATCTTTTCCAATGAGTCAGTTCTTCTCATCAGGTGGCATAGTTTCAGGTATTGGAGTTTCAGTCTCAGCATCAATCCTTCCAATGAATATTCAAGACTGATTTTTTTTAGGATGGCTGGTTGGATCTCCTTGCAGTCCAAGGGACTCTTCAAGCATCTATTCTTCAGTGCTCAGCTTTAAGATATAAGTACATACTTTATTCTTAGATATGCAGATGACAGCACTCTTAAGGTAGAAACAGAAGAGGAACTTAAAAGCTTGTTGATGAATGGGAAAGAAGAGAGTGAAAAAGGTGGCTTGAAATTCAACATTAAAAAATGAGGATCATGGCATCTGGTCACATCACTTCATGGCAAATAGATGGGGAAACAATGAAAATAGAGACAGATTTTATTTACTTGGCTCTAAAATTACTGCAGATAATGACTGCAGCCATAAAACTAAAAGTTGGTTGCATTTTGGAAGAAAAGCTATGTCCAACATAGACAGCATACTAAAAAGCAGAGACATTACTTTGCCAACAAAGGTCCATCTAGTCAAAGATATGGTTTTTACAGTAGTCATGTATGGATGTGAGAATTAGACCATAAAAAAGCTGAGTGACAAAGAATTGATGCTTATGACCTGTGGAGCAGACTCTTGAGAGTCCCTTGCACTGTAAGAGGATCAAACAAGCCAATCATAAAGGAAATCAGCCCTGAATGAATATTCATTGGATAGATTCTTGCTAAAGCTGAAGCTCCAATATTTTGGCCACCTGATGCAAAGAACAGACTCATTGGCAAAGACCCTGATGCTGGGAAAGATTGAAGGCAGGAAGTGAGCAACAGAGGATAAGATGGTTGGATGGCATCACCAACTAAATGGACATGAGTTTGAGCAAGATTCAAGGTTGGTAATGGACATGGAAGCCTGGCATGCTGCAGTCCATGGCTGTTACAAAGAGTCAGACATGACTGAGCAACTGAACTGAATGGAACTGATGCACTTTCTCCTAGCTGGTTAAATACCCACTTTCTACAGTGGATAGACCTTAGTTTAACAGTGTTTACATGAAACCCTTACAAAATTTTACAACAATAATTTGCATTTTTTTCTCTTCACTGTTCCCAGTCACCTCCCCCCCATAAAATAGTTAGAACATGTTCAAATGAAGGAATAGGTACAATTATAGTTGCACAGATTTTGCTCCATTTATGTCCTCTAACACTATCAAGACATTTCCCACCAAAATATGAAAGTATGTGGTTAAAATATAAGGACCCCAAATCTTGCCCTATTTGTAATTTACTCTAGTGTCAGTCTTTATTTTTTTGGTCTTCAAAATCACTGCAGATGGTGATTGCAGTTATGAAATTAAAAGATGCTTACTCCTTGGAAGGAAAGTTATGACCAACCTAGACAGCATATTAGAAAGCAGAGACATTACTTTGCCAACAAAGGTCTGTCTAGTCAAGGCTATGGTTTTTCCAATGGTCATGTATGGATGCAAGAGCTGAACTGTGAAGAAAGCTGAGTGCCAAAGAATCGACGCTTTTGAACTGCGGTGTTGGAGAAGACTCTTGAGAGTCCCTTGGACTGCAAGGAGATCCAGCCAGTTAATTCTATAGGAGATCAGTCCTGGGTGTTCATTGGGCAGACTGATGCTGAAGGTGAAACTCCAAAACTTTGGCCAACTCATGTGAAGAGTTGACTCATTGGAAAAGACCCTGATGCCAGGAGGAGAAGGGGGTGACAGAGGGTGAATAGCTGGATGGTATCACTGATTTGATGGACGTGATTCTGAGTAAACTCCGGGAGTTGGTGATGGACAGGGAGGCCTGGAGTGCTGCAATTCATGGGGTTGCAAAGAGTCAGACACGACTGAGTGACCAAACTGAACTGAACTGAATCTATAGCAATTTATGTGTGCATTTATTTTTTAGTTTTTCTGTCAGCTTTTTTGTTTGTTTGTCTGTTTTTTAGCTCTAAAGATACATAGAGCTTCCCAGATAGCTAGCTCAATTGATAAAGAATTCACTTGCAATCAGGAGATCTTGGTTCATTTCCTT